AAGCAAATGGTGTAAAAATGATTAATACTAAATATTTATTAAGTTATGTAAATAAAAATATAATTTAAATATTTTTTACTAATAATTTAATTTATTTTTCATTTTTATAATTTTAACATAACCTTTTAAAATTTTGTACCTATAATATAAAATATTAAGCATTTTTTTTCAAAGTAAAAGGTAAATAAGTATATACTTTTCTTCACAAACTTTAGTAAAGTTCACTCCACCTTTACAAAAGTGATGTTGTAACGTCCTGAATCCCGGTTAGACGTATTGGGCTAACTCGAAATGGGTATTGGTTTAATTCCTTAGTTTGTAAGAAGTATTGACCCTGTAGATGCTCGTTTTTATCCAGGGCCGAGTCGGAGCAGACTCGAAGCAATCGTAACCTAACCCGACCTTGAACCAGTTGTAGGCCCAACTTAAGCCCAATGGACGACAGTTGATTGCAGAGGAAAAGTGAGAGGTTAACGTTGGTTTTTAGCAGTTTTTTTATATATACAGGGAGATTAACCATCAGAAAGAAGGGGGAAATATATCAGGAATCCATCACCATTACGAGAAAAAAAAAACAGAGACCATTTGCTGGAAAAGCCGAAGAACACAAGAACAAAAACACGGGGAAATCGTTCGTTTCTTTTTCAGAGCAAAGAAAATATAAAAGAGCGTGTAAACAACCAGCAAATTGGAAATTCAAATCTTGTAAGATTTTCTTTCCATGATCATTTACAATTACATTTTTGTTATATTTGTTTTAATAGCTTTCATGATAAATTCAAAACAAAAGGAACAAGGTGAATCAAATTTACCTTCGATTTTAGGCTGGCGTTCGAAATAATTGAGTCGTAGGTGCCTGAGTCTTAGCATCAAGGTTGTAACGTTGTTGGAATCGGGGTTAAAGTGTTGAGATTCTTTTGTATAACCTGCGTATGGTTCAAAATGTAGTTTTTAGATTATAAAAAGAGGGGTTTCAAGATAGAAAAAAAGAAAAAGATTTGGTCTGTTACCTGACTGGTTCGAGTTTACTGTCGAAATAGAAAGGTTAGTAGTTGTTGGGTCCCTTCGTCGGAGTTGTAGAGTAGTCACAGTCGAGAGAATTCAATATTCAACCTTCATCGTAGTTTCGTTTTTTAATCTTCGGGTATGTAATTTAGAAAAAGAGGAGAGCATGTTTGAGCCTAGCCGATGATGGAACTCGGGTGAATGATGGGCATTGGGGCTCTCGGTAGCCATGTGAGCACGAAGAAGATGAGTGGAGAGATGCTTGGGCGAGCTGCAGCGTGCGAGAGATAGAGAGTGGAGAGTAAAGCAGAGTAAAGCTTTGTGCGTAAGATTTAGGTTAGGTATAGTTTATTTAGTTTTTATATTAAATGTTTAGGGTTAATTTGTTTAAGGTCCCTGAAAGTTCATTAAGTTTTTATGCTTTAGTCACTGTTACCATGTTTTTTTATTCTATTTCAGATTTTTGGTGTATTGAATAAGTAGTTTTGCCCTTTTTTGTATATGGATTACTTACGTAGGCTCCTATTTGAAAATAATTAAATTTTAGTCCTCTCAGATTTGCAATGAATGTGCATTTAGGTCACTTACTTATTTCGAATTTTACATGCTTAATTCTGTATATATTTAAATTTAGTCATTACATTTATGTATATATACTTTTTAAATTTTTAGTTTAGCATGTTATGTTTTTTTTTTATATTTGAGTCATATTTGTACATTATATGTTAGTATGCATGGCTTATGATCTTTAATTAAAATATATGTAATTTCTTGTATGTTACATTGTATGATATTTTTTAATTTTGTATAATTAATTTTGACATGTCATCCACTTTTTGCACAATTTGTATGATACATTCACGTGCATAACTTGACCTATTACATAATTGGATTAAGGGTAATATACTTTTAATTTAAAATTGTTTTAAGTGGGGAGTCATAATTGATTTGAGGTCCGCTTTTAGTGAATTTAAAATAAAAGTGTATCCCGAAAGTAAAACCAAAAATTGATTCGTCACCTAAAATTTGGGAACGAGAGAAAAGGAAATGTTCGTTTATTTAAATATATCGAGAAAAGGTTGTTATATCATTAAGATCTGGTCTCGATATTTGTAAATAATCGAACATTCTTTATCTTTCTAAAACGACTTGGTAATTTTAATTTAATTTGTTTGAGTGCTTTTGAATGTTTTTAAATTTACGTCATTGTTTTATGGGATCAAAAATTAAATTAAGTTCGAATTTGTAAAGTTCATTGCAAAGACGTTAATTAATCGATTAGGTACCGATTTAGGGCGTTGTGGGAGTGCTAATCCTTCCCCACACGTAACCGACTCCCGAACTCGGATTTTGATAACGCAGACCTCAATTTGTTGTTTTAATTAAAATTAATTTTTATTTAAAATGACAAAGTATTTTTGGGTGCCCAATCATACCCTAATCAAAGATTGGTGGCGACTCTTCGAACCGTATTTTTTCGATCGTAAAGGAAATTCAAAATTTTTCGAAACGAGAGGTCTTTTAAATCGCATATGTTTTTAAAATAAAAAAGAGACAATTAAGAATTAATGTGGTTTTCAAAATCTCACATTTTTTCACCTTTAAGAAAAAATCGTTTCGACAGACCCAAATTAAAGATGATTTAAGCTTGAGGTAAGCCCAATAGAGATTAAAAATTGTGTTTTTAGTTTGCAACCAAAATCAGGAGTACCAAAAGAACAATTACACAATTGAGGATTTCAAAAGCTAAAAACCATTTATGAACAGTGATCACACGTTTGATTTCTTTGCTTCCCTCTTTTCTTCATCTTTGTCTTCTCTCCCAAACTCACTATCTCTTCCTCAACTCTCTAAGTAAAGGTGAGAGCTTTAGTTCTCCTCAGGCATTTTCCAGCAACATCAAAGTAAGAAACGAATTCAACACTCCACTATCTTTCTTTTAAGCTCTCAAACCACTGATTTCACCATAGTTCTCAAAAACGAGTTTTAGAATGGTTTAAGAAATTAGATGAGTTCAATCTATTTTTTAGATATTTCTAGTCTTGAGAAGTGTTTTAAAACCCTCCTTAACCCCTAACAATATTATTAATCCTTGCAATTGGTTTTGTTTAGTGTAAGAGATCGGAGAAGGCTCCAAAGCTAGGGGAAGGAAAAACTTACTTTGGGCTGAGTCTTTGACGTTTCCAGCAGCTTAGCATCATAGATAACTCACTTTTGACTCAGCTATACCATGTGTAAGCCATTTAGATGAAATGTAGTAGGTTGCATGAGCTTGAAGCGCTCTCATGGTAGATTTCATGTTTTAGAGTTATAAATATGTTTAAAACTCTATTTATGCTTCTTTGTATCTTCATAAAACAATACTAATGTTTGGGGACCTCACTAAGGTCTTTGGTATATAAGAATATGAGTTTTTGCACCTATTTTATGCTTTATGTAGGCTGAATTTCGATACTATACGGATAGTATCGAAACTTGTTTTTCTTCTTGAGCAAACTCGTGAGTTTCTGGGCAAAAATATCAATACTCTTTCAAGAGTATCGATACTTTGGGTCATAATTTTGAAACTCCCAAAAAAACATCGAAACTAAATGGTCCAGAATGTTTAAAAAGTATTGATACTTGTAGAAAGTATCGAAACTTTTATAAGTATTGATACTTTTGTAGGAGTGTCGATACTCTTGGGCTAGTATCGATACTTTCAATATGTTTTGAACAAAAATATCAATTTTTAAGGGAATTAGACTCAAGCTACCTAACACTTCAGTATATCCTCAAATAAGACTTCAAGCGATAACACTTTCATGTCTTGGCTGATGAGTTTTGGTGGGCTGTTGTCTGGTTATCCGGGCATAGCTCTTTGACGTGACCATAACGTCCACAGTGAAAACAGACGGTCGGCAAGGACTCATATTCAACAATTTAAATATTTCTATTAACAACTAGTTTCGAAACGAGCAGTTTATTGAGATCAATATTGACAGCCATTCGGGCGAACTTTCCACACCGTCCACTCTCAGTATGGTAATCTATTTTAAGAATAGGCCCGATGCATCCGCCAATCTCAGTGATCAGGCTGCGTTTGTAAAGGGTTACCGACATATTGTGTAGGCGAATCCAAGCAATAATCCTGTTGATGAAGGGTTGGTTGGTAGAGAACTCTGGGGACCATGGTTCCATCTGCGAGGACTTTAAGATAATCCGAATGGGTTCTAAGCGAGACTAAGAAGTAGTCATTGTCGATGTCCATAAGTCGAAAATGTTGAGATGGTTTCCAGAGACTGTATAAGCGCGTACGTAAAGTTGCATAGCCAATTTTCTTGCCAAACAATTTCACAACCACTGTTTGGTCAAAGCTCTTGTCCGCGAGATCTAAGACCCGTTCTGAAAAATCGATGGAAACAACAAGTTCATTAACAAAACCCTGAGTTACGTCTCCATCGATTATTTCTATGTCCTCATCGTCAAAGATTTCCTCCTCAGCAAGCGGGATCGAGCTTTTTCCGCCAATTAGGGTATCTTTATGCGATACTGGTGAGGGTCGCGTGATCGGTTGAGACTGGTTATTAGCAGAAGGGAGAGCAGCCGGTCGGTCAAGGTCTATGAAACCAGTCGAAGTGTGTCCAGGGTCGGGGGTCGTCATCCAGCCGACAATACTTTTTGTGGGCTACGTAATTGGGGGAGAGCATTAGGGTAGTTTTTTATTTACCCTATAATCAAGCATATAATGCAAGTTGACCAAAATTGATGTTTTTTTAACGGTCAATCTTGAAATATTTAATTTTTTACCATTTCCTCCCTTTCATTTTTGGTAACAATTACCCTCCAATATATTTATTAACAAAACAAAATTTTCTAACAAAAATGAAAAATAAAAAGGACATTTTGGTCAGTCGAAGTATTAAGTTCAACGTAACAATCATTGTTTATAAAACCAAACAACAAAGCTGGCCGTGCCATGTCCATGGCAGAAGAACAAAAAAAAAAACATGTCCACATTCTCTGATCGTGAATTGTTGTGCTTTATAAAGAGACCGTAACAATTTTTACACCTCTGCTTCTGCCTTACATCGAGGGAACTCCCGCATTTCCTTTATTTTCTCCTCTTTTCTTGTCCGTCCCCCCTTTTTTTCTTCTTTTCCTTTGCCGTCCAATTGTTTCTGTGTTTTGTTTGGGTTTTCCGGCGATAACATGTCGTCGGGGACCGCAAACAACTCGGCCACCGCCAACGGGAGCACCATACCCACCACCACAAGACGACGCGCGCCTGATTCTGACAACAATAATTCATCTTCCGCTGCGGATCATTACAGCCCAGTTTGTAATGATGAAGAATCCGACAACCCCACCGGTTACATTCCCTCCGGTCCTGTCTCTTTCGGGGGCCATTATTTGCAGCAGCACCTCGTGATAAAGTATTTGCAGCCCCGAAGGAAGTTGTTGTTTTCTTGGGTGCCAGATACGTGGTCCGTTTGGGTCGGCTACCCGTTCCGTTGGGTGAGCTTGAGATCCGGTCGGAAAGTTGGCCGGAAAATCATGGGTCTTCTCTTTCTCATGGCGATTGTTTCCGTTTTCGTCAAAGTCTCGCTTCTCAGTACCCACGTTGAGGTTCACGGTAAATGGCGAAAAGAGAACGGGCTGCTCATCTTGCAGACGTTCAAAGAGGATTGGGCCATAGCGCAACGCGTCGTGAGCGAGACCGAAAGCTCCATGCCCAAACGCGTTCTTGAAAGGATCACCGTAAGTTTATTGGTCAAGAAAATGGGAATTCTTTTCTTTCTTCTTTCTTAATGAATTTTTGACCGGTTTGACGATTTTTTTGACGGTGGTGGCGGCTCAGACCAAATTTCCGCCATTTTCTGGGTTACATTTTGCATTCACATGAAGATTTGATCTTTTTTTATATATGGAATTCTATATTTTGTTAGTAAAATTCTGAATAAATTCTTACCCTTTTTTGTTGGTTGGTGTAATAGTAAATTTAGAAGTTATCAACTTTTCCTTCTTTGTTGGATTAAAAGTTTCTTGCTTTGTTGTTTATCTGCAGACCCCAGATATTTGGATGAAACCAAGCAGTGAGAATTATTATCAATGTATATCTCGGCCTAAGAATCGGATAAGTATGTTATGTTCCTTTGTCAGCTTGTTTCAATTGATTTCTATGTGAATTTTTTTTTGTTAATGATCTGAATCAAACATCAGGATCAGGATCAAAGTCTAATGGCTATCTCATTGTTCATGCCAATGGTGGATTGAATCAAATGAGAACAGGAGTAAGTTTTTTTTTACTGAAATTTGGATTGAATCTCTGATTTTCTTGATTATTTCGACTAGTTAATCTGTTGGCTCAATTGATTTATATAGATATGTGATATGGTTGCTGTTGCCAAGATAATGAATGCCACCTTGGTTCTTCCTCATCTTGACCATGAGTCATTTTGGACTGATCCAAGGTAAAATCGATCATTCGAGTTGTTTTGATACTGGTTTCGTTGTTTTTAAGTTCCGAAAGGTTACGTTCTTTGAATGCATCTTGCACAGTGGTTTCAAGGATATTTTTGATTGGAGGCACTTCATCAATGTGCTGAAAGATGACATTGAGATTGTTGAGTATCTTCCTGCTAAGTACTCGTCGATAAAGCCTCTGGTCAAGGCTCCTATTTCGTGGTCGAAGGTACAGAAAGATTGAAGTTTGTTGAATCTGTGAATGTGTTTATGGAAAGGTGGCTTAGATGCTTCAGTTTGCAGGCTAGTTACTACAGAAGGGAGATGCTACCATTACTAAAGCGGCATAAAGTGATCAAGTTCACACATACTGATTCGAGGCTTGCTAATAATGGCCTTCCGAACTCCATTCAAAGACTAAGGTGCCGGACCAATTACGAGGCTCTCCGGTACACAAAAGAGATAGAGGATCTCGGGACAACTTTGGTTGATAGACTAAAGAACAATAATGACCCATATATAGCTTTACACTTAAGGTACTGTCGTTTTCCGGTTTCTGGTAGTATTTCTCCAAACAAAGTTGTCAGCCTAATAAGGCTAATTTTGATTGCAGATATGAGAAAGATATGCTCGCATTCACGGGCTGCATCCATAATCTTACTGTGGAAGAAGCTGATGAACTCACTGTTATGAGATACAATGTTAGACATTGGAAGGAGAAAGAGATCGATAGCGAAGAACGGCGAAGGCAGGGTGGATGTCCAATGACCCCTAGAGAAGCGGCTGTGTTCCTCAAGGCCATGGGATACCCTTCCACCACGCCTGTCTACATTGTTGCAGGAGAGATTTATGGCAGTGATAGCATGGCTGCCTTCCGTGCAGAGTTCCCGAATGTATACTCGCATTCGACTTTGGCAACAGAAGAAGAGTTGGAAATGTTTAAGCCGTATCAGAACCGTCTAGCTGCGTTGGATTACATTGTTGCACGTGAAAGTGATGTCTTTGTTTATACACACGATGGGAATATGGCCAAAGCAGTGCAGGGGCACCGAAAGTTCGAAGGATTTCTAAAGACCATCAACCCTAACAGGTGTGTATACATCAGAATTTCGTTCTTGAAGCATGAATAATTAAGACTACCGTAATGACATGATTCGTTTTATTTCCAGACAAAATTTTGTCAAACTCATCGATCAGCTGGACGAAGGTGTAATATCGTGGGAGCAGTTTTCTTCCGAAGTAAAGAGTTTGCACTCGGACAGGCTCGGAGGTCCATACACGAGACAGACCGGAGAATCACCACGACTAGAGGAGAACTTTTATGCAAATCCCCTTCCAGGGTGCATTTGTAAAAGAACTCGGGAACAGAAAATCATTGGCCAAAAGTTTGATCAGACCTCGAGTTCAGTCCAAAGATAGTATTTTTGGTAGTGGCGATAAGTTGGTTGAATTATACACTGCCCTCTGGAGGATGGCTTGATAGTGGATTCTTGAATTAAGGTGCTTTCTTCCTGTGGTGGGGAGACTTGCAGAGGCCAACTACAGGGCTTAGAAATCTGTTTGTTTCAGGCGTCTCATTCGATTCGATATCGGCTGAATTTATGCGGTTCCGGTTTCAGTTTTGCTAGAAAGACCAAACCAGCGACTTAGGTAAAAAAGCACAGAGAAGATGTATAATGGCAAATAAAGTTAGTTATATAAGCACAAGCATATACGTCACAGGGTGGAATCACAGCATTGATTTATTCATTATTCTTTCAATAATTTGTTTGTAAACAGAAAAGAAAAAGAAAAGGTACATTTGTCAAATTAGCATCTTACAAACTTGGATGTAATATCTGAACACATAATGGAGATTGTTTCCCAAATGTTCCCATCTGATTTTGTTATATTGTTCTAAGTTTCATCTCCTTTACAATGCAATGATAGTCACCAGCCTTTGTTACCACAGGAGCAGTCATTGCAATCTTTTCACTTTTGGTGTAGGGTGATTCATTCATTCTCGTTTATTTAATTTAATAAATAAACATAAATGAACGTTATCGAACAATTCATCGTTCGCTTTGTTCATTTATTAGATTTTAGACTCAAGAACCCAGCAACCTTGGACTTGTTCGGGTCCATACTGAGATCCCGTTCTACTGTTTTAGTTATGGTTCTTACTCCAATAACACTTGACATATCTAATCTTATTGGATGATTTAGGATTGATTAGTTTACTCCCTTGGTTTTCATATGAATTTTACCTTCTTTTTTGCTTAAAGTTGCATCAATCTTGAATTCTTGATTGCTCATAGATACCTTCATTTGATTGCAGAGTTTGATTTTATGTCAGCTGTTGTTATGCATGCTTTAGAATGTGATGTACTATATGCTCGAAGTTTAAGCTTTGAACCTTGTAATATCATCTTCAGGTTTCCAGGTCAGCTAAATGTAGCTGATATGCACCATGGAAGGTGACATAGGTTATGTTCAAAGACTAAATGAAAGCACAAAGGAAGCTGATCACTGTCTGCTCAAATGTCCTGAACAAGAAATCAACCTACTTCGTAGCATCAATTCGAAACAATTGCAAAATCAAATGTTTCAGTCCTAGAATTTTGTCATGGAATGTAAAGAAATGCCAAGAAATCACAAATTCCAGGAAGATTTAATCTGGTAAGCTTGTATGCCAATATGAATGTTAAACATACTTTGATCCAGTTCTACTGTTTTAGTAACATGTCCATTGCCTGTCTTGAATCAGATCGAAGATATGGATTTTTTTTCTGCAAAGAACCAGTGTTACCTAGATTCGAGATGAGTGTTGAATCCATGATTGTATTCAACACTCATCTTACTCATAGAAACATGGGGGAAATGAAGAAAATAACCAGGTAATATATTAAAGAACTTGCACAAGAATTATGCATTTAAGAGTTATAAGATTAAGACAGAGCAACATTCAGTTTATATTACAAGGTAAACCAACAGCTACATTTTCTTTTACACAATTGGTCATTAGCTAAAAGCACAAACAAAACCTGCAACTACAATTACAAAATATCATCACAACATAAAAATTGTCAATCATAGCCCCCTACTCCAAAGATCTGCTTCTTGCCATCTTTGACAGCATCGTCGACTACTACTACTTTGACCTTGTAATCGAAATCCATGGGGTCCACACCGCACTCTTCAGGCACCACGGGGCGCCTATCACCGAAGACATTCCATGCGTACATCACACAAGAAGCCATCAAGGCTCCACAGGCGCCACCAAAGACGAACACAACGAACACTTTCCAAAAGCATCTGCTACTCTTGGTCTTGGCTGTCAAAGGTTCGGGTTTCTTTGCTACAGCGGCCTTGGGATCGAGTGGTTGGGAATGCATCCAATTGGGAACCTGCCTCAGCTTAAAACTCCACGAATGAATAAAGCATGTCTGCGAAGAGTTGCCGTTTGCAGAGCTTAAGCCCACAAACACTTCACCATTCCATAGTTTCGACAAGTTGATCGAATACGTAAGCAAGGGATCATTAGGCCTGGAACTACTAGATTGACTCAACCTAATCTCAAATCTCTTTGAAGTTGCCTCATAATCAATCCAACAATGCAACTTTTCCCCATTGTTTAGCTCCAAATTGAGAGATGATAGATTTCTGGCTTTAACTGATGCCAAGCTACCCACATCAATTCCCACATGATTCTCACTCAAATCACCGTGCTCGTCATCTTTCAAGGTATCAAATACCACAGCAACAATACCACTTTTGCTTTTATCCAATCCAAGAGAAACCCCAAATGAACTATTCCCCAACACATCAACTTTAAAACTACTAGGAACCATAATAAAAGCCAAACCATCACCGTTTCCATGGGACATTGAGAAGGAAAAGTAAGTTGAAAAAGAAGTAAAGTTCATGGCTTTACCTTCGACGAGCTTGATGGGTTTCTTGTACATCACTGCCCCAGCACTCCAACTCACTGAGTCGGTGAGTTGAATCCAAGAGCCATCGTTACCAGCACGTGAATCCCCATATAAAGCAATATTGGACTCAAATTTTGGATCTTTACCAAAACTTTTGAAAGAAAAAGAGGAACTTTGCTCTGCAGCCAAGATTTTGAAGAAGGAAACAAGACAAATCAGGGCTGTGCGGTAACTAGAAATGAAGAAAGTTGCCATTGTTGAAGTGGGTTAGAGCTGAAATCTGAGCTTGGTTCTTTGCTTTCTTTGTTGGTTTACAAAGATATGGCAGATGATTCCATTTACAATAAGCTGTGCTTCCCCCCCCCCCCTTTAGTTTTTAAATTTAGGCCTGTGGGTGAAGAACCAGAGGTAAGAAAGTAAAAGAATATTGAAGGTTGGGTTGGAGGTTGTGAAAATTAAATACGTTTACTCGTTTCTGCAATGACTCGCACTATCTCCTCTTTATCTCTCTCTGGGTAGTTGCTTCTGACTTAGGGAATATTATAATGGACCATTTTCAGTTTAACACATACTTTTTCAAAATTCATAAGTGTACCCTATATACTTCTTCATTTACATTTCCATCCATAAAAATCAAGTGGATTTGGTTGTTTTTATGAAGTGCTTTTGTTTGATTGGTTTCATTAATTGTGAAAAGTTCTGTATAGTTCTCGTTCTAACTCTAACAAGATAAAAAAAAAGGTTGTGCTTTTGAGCTTCAAAACCCTAGTTCTGCTAAAAAGTCTAATATCTAGAAATATATGAACCAATTTGGTACTTTCTTCTTTCTGAAGTAACCAATTTGGTACTTTTTTAGGTGAGTTGGATTGGTGATATGTAATTATCATGGTTAGCTTTCTTCAATGTAAGCTGATTTAGCTATGTGCACTTTAATATGGACTGGACACTAGAATTTTTATTATTTTGAGGCTTGTATTTTTTTCATGTTAAGTCACTGTAAGTTTGCTTTATTTTGGGTTTTAGTCCCTTTGATTATTGAAATGATTAATGTATTAATATCGATCATGTCCAATTGTCCATCAATGCATATCATTTGGACTATCTTGACCTTGTAGTCGTGGGATCGAGTCTTCCGGTGGACAATTCATAATTTCTGACTACAGGAGGTCTTCCACGGAAGCTGCTCTCAATCTGACGTTGGGGGCATCCTACTATCTTACCTCCCCCTCACTCCATTACATATGGGAATAGGGTCAGCTAATTTTTAATTTGAAATGAAAATAGACCAAAATCTAGACATTTCATATTAAAGATAAGTAATGTGTTCACCTATGCTAAATTATTAATATCTCTTTGCACTTTTAATGTGCCTTTCGTTTTCTAATAAAGGGGGAGGAAAATAAGATAAAATAAAGGCTTAGGCAAGGATTGGTGTGCAACGTGCGGGGCTTAGTGCCCAAACCTGCACCTCAAAAATAACGTAAACTTGCTCTCTTATCTTCACGCCCCCACCCAACCCATTACTTGATTATGTCCTAATTTAAAGTTAAGAAACGATAAGAAATTAACGTGATCAAAAAAATTATAAAAATCACAATATTTTCGATTGTACGTAACTTGAAATATTAACTTTTAGGTTGAACAGAAAATGTTAAGCATAAGGTAACATTTCCGGTTACCAACAAAAAATGTTATAAAAATATTTTCAACCGAAAAATATTAAGAAAAAGTTAACATTTTAGATTATGTCTAATCGAAAAAATTATAATTTTTATAAATTCACGGTAGGCTACCTTTACTTAGACTCACCTCATTACTCTTCTCAAATTACTTCCACCATTTCCCTTTGCTTCTATTTTGCCACAATCCCTTCACTTGTTAAAAAACTCACACATGAACAAGATGAGACTCGAGGAGGGATAGATTGATAGATTGAGAGGTTGATGGGGCGACCTTTTCTATGACAATTTTAAATTCTTATATAATTTAGATATTTTTATTAATAATATATTTTTATATATGTTAAAATTTTATAAATTCACTCTTAATATAAAATTATATATCCATTCATGAACTTGAGCTTGGTGTTCATGGATTCAGAGTCTCAACCTTTGTCAACTGTACTAAACCCTCATCTTAATTTAAAATTTTAAATACAATGATTAGCACAACCATATTTAATAAAAGTCAATTAACATATCTATTAGTTGGAATTTATTTTTTTAATCAGATAAATTGGGTACAAAATTCCATGTGTGAAAATAGGATTACCATAATTCAAAATCTAGAATAGTACAAGGATTGGAGGATAAATAAACCTTTCTTTTAACTTTGACGTATATTTTTGGTTCGAACGAATGATTTTAAGGATACGTGTCTCTTATATTTACCGTCTTGAAATACTGACCCAACAAAAGTTTAAAGGGTAACTTTTACTTTTCTATTAAATCAAATTTATCATTTTGGTTTTTATTTTTGTATTAATTTAATTCTTAAAATTATCTAATTGTATCATTCTATACCTTACTTTTAATTTAAAACCTTAAATTTTAACCTTAAAATTATGATTTAGGATTTAAAATTTATAGTTTAGGGGTTATGAGATTATGGTTTAGAGTTTGAGTTTATAATTCAAGATTTTAAGTTAGATGTATAGTATAAAATGATGTAATCGAGTAATTTCGATGGTTAAATTGATGCGAAAATACGATAGGAGTGAAACCGACCCGATAGGGTCAAAAAATTTGGGTTCGAGTCGAGTTAGGTTCAAATTTAGTGTGAAAGATACTCAACCGACCCGAAAAAAATAATTTTATCTTATATATTTAGGGATAATTGAATAATAACATTCTATATATATTATTTTCTTTCAATTAAATTCATATTTTTATTAGATAAAATAATATTTTTTAATAAATATGTTATTTCGGGTTGTTCGAGATTTATCTCAAAAAATCAGTTTAGATTCAGATAAGGTGAAATATATATATATTTTTGGATCACGTAGAGAATTTATAATTTTCGATATAAGTTAAATGGTGAATTTATAATTTTCGTACTCGTATAATCTAACGGTAATAATCAACAAAATAATTGACTTTAACTTCTATTTGAACAGGAAAAAAAACAAGTAGGAAGCTTTTGACTGTTGGGAGTTGAAAATTACCGTTGGTGGGTTGCCTACAACAGAGGTTTTGGCATTTGGGAGACTTTTTTAAAGCTAAAATTACGATGCCAATTAATACACATTTGTACAAGTACAATTCATTTAAATAAAAACATATACAGATTCAGATTGAAGTCTACTATAAATTCACGTATTATATTTAAAATTCATAATTATAAAATTTTCTATAAAATTTATCCATTTTATTAGAAATAAAAGATATCTAAATGACGAAAAAAAGTTTATAACTTTAACAATAAACTAAACATAAAATAAGGATCTTTTTCTATAATTATTAGCTCAAGAAATTAATCACTTAAGATGATACAAGAACCATATAAAAAAAGTAAAAAAAACCTAATCAAATAAACTCGAACAAAAAGTAGATACAAATGTATCTGTCTGCACCGATAAAACATACCATAAAAGGAGATCAAGCTATTGAAAGATCACAAAAAAATCACAAATTAGAGTCGAGTAACGTGAAAAAAACTATCCACAAACGTAAGTCGCATATCCAAATCCAATATGATGGTCCAAAGTAAGAAAATCATAATGATAACAAATAAGTGTTTTTTTAATCAATCGTGAAGATCTCAAATATAATCTTGAGAAAAAATGATAAATGAAAATATATTATTTATTAATCAAAATATATTTAAACAATAACTCATCAAGCGACCTCAGTAATAAAACGGAGTGTTGTTCTTCTTAAAGATTCTAGATTCAAGCACTTATATTCGAAGGCTACGTATGCAATTTCAATGATTAAAAAAATTCTAAACATACCTTATAATCGTTTAGAATTTTTTAAAGAAAATAAACAGATTTCTTTAACTATAAATAGATTCAGAAGTTACAGCAGCAGAGATACATTGAGGAACTACAGATTCGAAACAGGTAGAAGCAGATGAGATAACTGCATGGTTGGCGAGGCCGCACTATTAGCCTCCCGGCGAACAAACCTGTGGACGCTGATCCAGAATCTGACGTACTTCTACGAGAAAGAGATGAAGGAATGATCGATCAGTATCGTGGTTCTCAATCTGTCGGACAACATTTAACGAATCACTCTCCACAATCACTGTTGGTAGTGTCATTTCCACCGCCATTCGAACCCCCTGATTAATTGCCAATACTTCAAAGATGCTTGACTCTCGATGTTCAAGTATAGGAAGTGCTCGACCTGCCAAAACTCGTCCTCACAATCACAGAAAATAACCCCAATAGCTGAAGATGCAGGGGGCAATATGCCAACGCCATCCACATTTATTTTAAAAGTCAGTTGTAGACTTCCTCCAACTATGTGCAGACAAACCATAGCTGTAAGCAACAAACGAGGAAGCTACCGCCGTGGTGTACGCCGAGTGCAAAGCAATCCAAGAAGCAATAAGTTGCCACCCTGGGAGTAGTTGACCTTCATGGGAAAAGAGATTCCGACGATGCCAAAGTTTCCAGGATAGTACCAACAAAGCAATGAACCGACGAATAGTCAATACTCCCATCAAGTGATCCAGCCAAGCACCGAAAGAAGGAAACATTGAGTGGTCTGCAACCGTGAGAAAACATGCGGCATTGAGAATAGGGCTAACCTCAGGACAATTGCACAACGCGTGGGAAACCGACTCTCCCGGTTAACAACATAAGCAATAATGAACATCAGCAGCATCGACATGAGAGAGACAACATCCAATAGGTAAAGCCTCATCCGCAGCCCTCCACCCAAACATACGTACCTGTGGGGGCGTATGTAAACATGAAAGAAAGAGCTATAACCGTGAAGCTTGAATTTCATCCGTGTTTCGGCGAAGCACCCATATTCAAACCGAATAGAATATGTACCGAACGAATGACCACTCTATACTATAGCATCTGACTGGACCGGAGAAATCGGACATTTTAGAATTTCTTGAGCATCGGCAACAGTGAACACACTCTGAACCAAAGCCATATTCAACGTCGGATATTAGCGAGCATGAACTCCCCACAAAGAATCGCATGTTGTTGGAGTAAAATCTATATTTGTGGGTACATATGTATAATGTACAATGTTATCATAATATATGACACAAAATCATGTTATATGTATTAAAGTGTCATGGAATCAAAGTGCATATATCATAAATTGTATTTATAATTCGATGAGGGACATAATTATAAATACTTAAAAGATTGACCTAATATTCAATCTATATAAAGAGGTAGTGATCCCCAAGAAATAGGTTAACTTGTATTCGCTCTTATCCCGTTAGAGGGTTTATGCTTAACGAAACTTTATCTTCTTGAAAGATCACAACCAAAGAAAGACTCAAGAATTTTAGCCTATTAACTA